GCAGCCGTCGGCCAAGCGGCGACCGCAGTCGTCGCCTCGGGCGCAGGAGGCGGGCCCCGGAGAGCCGCCGCCGGAGCCGCCGCTGCCCCCGCCTCCGCCCGCGGCGCCCTCGGCGTCCGAGCTGGACCTGGGCGAGCAGCGGGAGCGCTGGGAGACGTTCCAGAAGCGGCAGAGGCTCAGCTTCGAGGGCGCCGCCAAGCTGCTGCTGGACACCTAGTGAGTGCGGCGCGGCCGGGCCGGCGCCTGTAACGTCCCCGCGGCGCCCGAGCCGCGCACCGGCCGGACAAAGGCCTCCCCGCTCGGCCAGCGCCGCGCGCCAAGGCGGCGGCCTTCCCGCGAAGAGGGTTGGTCCGGCCCTCCGGCGCCGGAGCTGCTTTTGTGTTTGCGCACGTGTGTTTGGAGAGCGGCTGGGGGCGGGGGGCAGGGCCGGGGTGAGAGGCGCTGGGACAGTTCGGAGCCGCCCGGGAGGCCGGTGGCCCCTGTTACTGCGCGCGCCCTGCGCGGAGCCGGGCGGCGGGGAGGGGCGCGCGGGCCGCTCGGGTTCGGAACCGCCTCGGGGGCCCGAGGGCCGGGGCTCCGCGTCCCCCGGCTTTGCCGCCGCGGGGCGAGGACCCCCGGCTCCCCGGCGGCCGGAGGAGGACTTCGGAGGGTCCGTGAAGCTCGCAGTGAGCTGTTAGCCCTGGGGGGCGCCTCGTCGTCTCCAGACGGGGCCCCTGCCCCGTAGCACAGTTGTGCTACCGAGTAGTAGTTTAGCGCCCTAAATATCTCAGAATCAGTCGTCTTATGCTAGAAAACCCCAGAGAAAACAAAGCAACCTAACAATTTCATAGCAACCTGAGGATTACTCCTTTTCTTGAGCAAAAATGTTCCTTTGTCCTTGTTCTGTAAGAAATTCTCTTCATTAGGACGAGTCTTCTCAGAGATGGAATATTGGGTTTTCCGTGTGCTTTACTTTTTGGTATCATCGTCTTGGACTATAGGCTGAACATTTTTCAGTATACATCATTCAGTGTTTTTGAGCTAAGGTGTGCCAGCTACTGCTCAGTGTGGGGAATACAAAGATGTCAGAAACGTAGAACGAAAGTTTGAATTTATACTTTAAAACAAGCTGATAAATGGCCAAGAAAAAGATTTTAAAATGTTGACATGAAAGGATGAGATTTTTTTTGACTTATCAGATTGGCGCAAGTTGCATACATTTGTTAAAAAACCAAAACTCAGTAAATTAAAAAGAATATATTAAACAATAATCGCTGTTATTGTTAAAACATTGCTGTACGGAAAATAGTCTCAGGAACATAGAGCAAACAGTTAACTGTGGATCCCTCTGGGTGTTAGGACTTAAGAGACTTTCATTTTTTACATTATCAAATGTAATGTTTGCGTTTTTTACCATAAGCATTATTTGTGTCTGCAGAAAAAAATACATCAAATTAACGGAGTCGACTTGTACAGAAACGTGAGAAAACAGTCTTGGTAACCAAATAAATGCAAAATAAGACTGCAGCGAGCTATTTTTCCTGTAATTATTGCTTGAGAAGATTCAGTGAAATGTTTTCTCAATCGTTACTGATAAGAGTGTTCAGCCCTTTTGGAAAGCAGTTGGATGATATTTATCGAATCTTAATGTTCAATGAAGGGCCCGACTTATAAGTTTTAAAAAGATTAAAGTTGGGCTTCCCTGGTGGCGCAGTGGTTGAGAGTCCGCCTGCCGAGGCAGGGGACGCGGGTTCGTGCCCCGGTCCGGGAAGATCCCACATGCCGCGGAGCGGCTGGGCCCGTGAGCCATGGCCGCTGAGCCTGCGCGTCCGGAGCCTGTGCTCCACAACGGGAGAGGCCACAACAGTGAGAGGCCCGTGTACCACAAAAAAAAAAAAAAAAAAAAAGATTAAAGTTGTACGTAATGTGTACAGATAGCTCTGTAAAAAAACCACGTATATGCAAAATACCAGAGGAGAATACAGCAGAATTACAGGAGCCTTTTGTTAACTTTCTCTGGTCTCGGTCAGGTCTCCTTTCTTTTTCATGGCAGCCTGTACGCCTTTATCACAAGTCATGTAAATATTCAGTTAATTTGTTTGATGGCTGCTCCAGGTCCCTAAGGCCAGGACCACATCTGCTGTATCTTGTTTACTGCCTTCTCCCCAGTGCCTCGCTTGTAAAAAATCTTAATAAGTATTTGCCATGTAAATAACAACGTTCAGGTGGCTGGATTAGGATCCTCCACCCAATTCTCTTTTTTCCATACTTTGGAATGCTTTATTTTACGAGTTAACAAAATAGAAGTGGAAAAAAGAGCTCACAGACAAAGAAGGTACTGAATCCTTTTACAAAACTGACAGTGCCTCCTCAGA